CCCTCTAGCAAAAAATGTGTGTGTGTGTGTATGTGTGTGTGTGTGTGTGCACGCGTACTTTCTAGTCCAGTAATAACCTTAGTAATATTTTGTAGGGGCTGCTTACAAGTTAGGTATCAGACTGCTTTGAGTATCATTTCTTTACAATGCACACATCCCCTCTAGCAAAAAATGTGTGTGTGTGTGTGTGTGTGTGCACGCGTACTTTCTAGTCCAGTAATAACCTTAGTAATATTTTGTAGGGGCTGTTTACAAGTTAGGTATCAGACTGCTTTGAGTATCATTTCTTTACAATGCCTGTACTCTAGTGAAAAACAAAATGGCTAAAGAGGAAACGAAAAATAACGTTATCTCAGAATTACCGTCTTGAGCTGGCCTCATATATAGTGATTTAATGTCACATGTCGGGAGCTGGATTCCACATGGCCAACCATGATTCAACCATGAATCCCAGCATGGCAGCTTGAAAAATACAATGGTGCATGTGCAGGCATACACAAAATTGTGATGAGGAGAAATGGAGGAAAGGGATTATGTCATGACTGTTCCCCACGGCGAGGGGGTGTCATGCTTTCTCTCCCATTCAGTTTGTTTCTCTCCCCCCAACCCACCATTTCCTCTCTCACAAGTACATATGTCCTCTGGCAATTAAAAATAAAATTCAGTCTTCTTCTAAATAGACTGTTTTATATCATTTGTAGTTTATTTGTACAGTTAGTTTTATTTGTAGTATCAAGATTTGAGTATAATATGAAGGTTACCATTTCTACACTGTTTAGTTTAAGAAAGAAAGGTTTACTGAGAGCCAGCAGCCAGCATGGAGGGTAAGGTGTTGGATCCCGTAGTGCTGAATCCCACATGGCCAACTCTACGACTCTAGTCCTGGACCCAGTGGCAGGCATCAGGCAGAGGGATACCTCAGAGTCCTTAGTTTTATTCTGGAGCTTAAGTATTAATAACATTTTTTCTTTAAAAAGAAATTTTTCTTTGTTTGATATAGAGTGTGTGTAGTCACCAGAGACAGGGGAAAAGTGAGAAATCACCACCACTACCACCACCCCAGGAGAGATGGCCACACCATGATCCATTTTCCTCTTACTATTTTGAGTACACACTGACATGTAGCCAGTTTATTTTTCAAGCTGCTGGGTCTAGGACTTGAACCATGCAATTGGCTGTGTGGGATTCAGCTCCTTAAGTACTATGTCACCTGCTGTCTCAAGTATATTTTTTAAAGACTTATTTATATATTTTATTTGACCAGAGAAGAACAGAGTGAGAGAGAGAGAAAGTGAGAAAGCAAGAGCCAGGTCCAGAACTTGAACCATGGTCAGCCATGTGGGAGTCTGCTCCCTTAACCACCATGCCACCTGCCAGCCTCCCAGGAATTAATAACAATGAAAATCATTTAAATCACACATACACTGACCCTACTTCTTCAGACCCCACAGAGGAGAATTTGGATTATGACCCTGTCTTAGACATTATCAAGAAAAGATTTTATTAATGGTATGCTATAAAAATCTTGTCTTAAAATGATTTTGTTTTCTAGAAATTACCTCAGAATACAGGTCCTGAGTATATTAAAGCAATATCTGTTTTACTTTTCATTTTAAAATAAATGCAGGGTTACAGTTTTGGTACTTAGATTTCTCTAGTGAGGAGTAGTATTTCCATTTGTGTCATTGCCATTATTATTATGTATGTCTGGGTTTTGACATTACAGTTTTAAGAATTTTCGTTCACTAGGCAAAAGCAGAGTTAGGTCACAGTGCTCCAAGGTGTTGGGCCATTGCTGGACATGGTTAACACAAAAAGATAAACATACATTTGTGGTCAGTTTCCCTCTCATTTTAGAGGAGGAAAATACCAACATTAAATGTAGTATATTTGTAGTCAGCAGGTGGTGTGGTGATTGGGGCGCTGGATTCCCACATGGCTGACTGCAGTTCAAGTCCCAGAACTGATGACTTGATTTCTCACTCTCCCCATCCTTGTCTTGTCTCTCTTGTGAGTGAGAGTGACCTATAGCAAATTAAATAATAAGAAGAAATAAAAATTTTAAAATAATTCTTTTAACAAAGGTAGTATATTTAACATATAAACTAAGTCTTTTTTTTTTAAAAAAAAAATATATATATATTCACAAGTGGGTCAGCAGGTGGCATGGTTAAGGGTGTTGTACTGCCACATGACCAAACATAGTTCAAGTCCTGGACCTGGTAGCTTGTTTTCTCTCTCTCGCTCTCGCTCTCTCTCTCTCTCTCATCAAATTAAAATAAGTAAATAAATTAAATTATTCTTTTAAAATATATATATATACACACACACACAAACGAGCAGAATTAAGTAGTTTTCTTTAGTACTCATTGACATTGTTAAGCACAATTTATTCTTACTCTTAATTATATCCCTAGTGTTGATTTTAAAGTTTTTTTTCTAATTTATTCTAAATTCTTACCTTTTCTTCAGCCCTCTTAGATCCGATATGTGGCTCTGTGGTTGAGACAACTTGATAACAGATCCTCAAAATGGTTTTCTCTCCATTGCCAGTGAAAATGTGTCCTACCTAATGTAGGCCACTTTGTTTACCACTGGGTTTATTTGACAGCGTTTTCCTATTGATCTTTCTAGTGTCCACAATCAATTTACGCAATGAAGAGCGTGCTAAGGGTGTCTCTATAATTTGGATAATGGCCTGCGGCCAAAAGGTTCATATATTGGAAGCTGTGTGATGGCTTTGGGAGGTGTTGAGACCTTTAAGTGATAGGGCCTGAGGGGAGGGCACCATCCAGTCAACCGGGGGTGTGGGAGGGGCAGAGGAAGTGAGGACCGCTGTTTCCTCTGTGCACGCGCCCGCCTTCCTCTCTGCTTTTGATGCCATGCTGTAATGAGCACTGGGGTTGACCCTGATGCCTGCCTGCCACACACCTTTGGACTTACAGCCAAATAAACCTCTACTCATAAATTACCTAGTCACAGGCATTTCTGTTGAGCAGTATAACAACTCTCACAGATGGAAACTGAGTCTGTTCTCACTTCTCATCCTTATTTCCTGAGTTTTAATTTTTCGGTGTTCTTTCATAATAAATTAAAACTGGGAAAAGAGATGAGGCAGAACATCATGCCACTCTCTGGCAAGTTAAAAACAAAAGCAAACAAAAGACACAGAGAACTGTTTGGTCTTTCCAAAAGTATCCCCTTCTTAGGACTTATGGATTAAAATGTGTATAGAGGGCCTTGAGCATTTTTAAATGTAGGACTCGTGGTGCCTAGAGCCACCTAGGGAAAGGTCACGATGCTAGGAAGAAATGGAGATTCATGACACAAGTTGTATCCTTGCTGGCTCCTATGCCTTTATTTTTAACACAGAATTTAAAAATGAAATATCTTGGGGCTGGCACGTAGTGTGGTGGTTAAAAGCACGACTCCCACATGGCCAACCTTGGTTCAAGTCCTAGACCTTCCTTTCTCACTTCCTCTCTCTCGCTCGCTTTCTCTCTCTGTTCAAATTGGAAAAAAATAATAATAAATAAAGTTAAAATAATCCTTTTAAAAATGAAATATCCACGGACCAGCAGTTGGTGTAATGGCTTTGTCACTGGACTCTCATCTAGTTGACTGTGGTTCAAGTCCCGGACCTGATGGGGTGGCTTAAACTCATGCCGAGTACATGCGAGTGCATGCCCAAGATCCTGAGAGGAGAATGGAGGAGAAGGGATTGTGGTGTGGCCATACCCCTGGGGGGTGATTTCTCTCTCTCTCTCTCTCTCTCTCTCTCTGTGTGTGTGTGTGTGTGTGTGTGTCTTTGTCTTTCTGGCAACCACACGCACCCTATAGGAAAAACCTCTCAAAAAAAGAAAGAAAGAAAGAAATATCTCTCATCCAGGTAAAAATAAAGTTCTAGGGCTGGCTCTGGGGCACTGTCGTCTTAATGTACTGCTCAAGAGAAGCTAGATCCCACAGAGTGACTGCAGTTTGAATCTGTGACCATCAGCCCAAAGCATGCCAGACACACATGAGTACCCAGGACCCAGAAATGGATTTATGGTTTTGCCCTGATCTTCATTTCTCTACAATATGATCGTTCTCTTATCCCTATCCTTTTGGTACTAGAAAAGAAACTTCTTTCCTAAATAGACTTCAGGTCTGTTCCTTCTGGTTTTAGCTGTCCCTATAGCTTTCTTCCTTGCTAAACTTGGCAGATTCTACACTTCCACCTTTGTCTGTTTTTTGTTTTTGTTTTCTTTTTTTTTTTTTTGGAGAAGTTTTTGCTATAGGGTGCGTGTGCTCACCAGAAAGACAGAAACAGAGATACAGAAAGTGAAAAATCCCCCCCCCCCAGGGGGGATGGCCACACCACAGTCCCTTCTCCTCTATTCTCCTCTCAGGATCTTGGGCATGCACGCATACACACCCGGCATGAGTTTAAGCCACTGGGTCTGGGACTAGAACTGGTGTCAACCACATAGGAGTCCAGCGACATAGCCATTATGCCAACTGCTGGTCCCCATGTCTTTTCCTTTTTAGCAGTGCTTCCTAGACTTGGTATTCTCTAGAGAACATGTTCTGTGACCTGGCTGCCCCCAAGGACCCCATGTTTGAAAGATGTTACCTACCAAATTGCATCTATTAATTAAACTATGTTGTTGTATTTTTGTTCATCAGAAACATAGGAACTATGAATTAGGGTTTCTGAGCTAACCAGTTAGCCACACTGAATTGATATAATTAAAAAAAAAAAAAACTTTTGGAGGGAAATGGGCATGATACATAAAACTTTAGAAAATATCAATATAGTTTATAGATCATCATTATCCTCCTCCTCATTGTTATTATTGTATTAGAACCTTAAAGGTATGGGGAGCCCTGTGAGCAATGAGGACCCCAAGGTCTGAATCACTGAAACTTAAAATCTGATGGTTATGACTATAATGAGAATGCCAGTCAAGTGAGTATGTTGAGCTGATCCTTTCATTTCTTTGGCATTTTCCATATAGATTGAGTATGAAAGGAAGAAGAAAGAAGATGGAAAGCGAGCTCGAGCTGATAAACAACACGTTTTAGACATGCTGTTTTCGGCCTTTGAGAAACATCAGTATTACAACCTTAAGGACTTGGTAGACATCACAAAACAACCTGTGGTATGTATATGTTTATATTAACCCTTTAAATGGGTCCTGCTTCATTAACAAGTCATTACTAAAGATGAGTATGCCATGATTAAGTTCACATTCATCTATACTATTGACAGATTTTATGTCAGATTTTATGTAAAGATGTCTTAATACAGCTGTTTTTTTTTGTTACATCAATTTAAGACTTAATGTTAAGACGCAGTTAACATTAACAATTAGTATAAATAAAAGGAATTATCCTCAGTTTTTAACATTGAACCCTAATGTTTGTATCATTCTACTCTTTTTCTCAACTAAGAAAACTTAACTTCTCTTTTTTTTTAAAAAAAATCACTTTTCTTTTTTGTTGTTTTGAGGGGTTTTTTTAAAGAGGTTTTTTGTCTTCAGGCACATGTGCTTGCCTAAGAAAGAGACAGAGACAGTGAGAGAGAAGGTGAGAAATCACACCCCAGGGGGAATGGCCATGCTGCAATACCTTCTCCTCTAGTCTCCTCTCAGAATCTTGGGGGCACACACACACGTTCCCAGCATGATTTTCAAGCCACCGGGTCCAGGACTTGAGCTTCTGTTGGCCCATGAATCTCTTTTCTTTGAAGAGTCATAGTGGACTGTTACGGTTGTAGGGTTTAACCCTGAGTTGTGTGTTATTCTCTGTGAACTTTCAGACTCTGCCTAGCACTAGCAGTAGGTCCTTTTAAATTTGAACTGAATTGCTTCTTCAGCTTATGCTTGTTGAGATTGTGTTTGGATTGGCCTATTCTCCATTTCTGTTTTTTTAAGGAAAATTTCAATAAGTTGACATTTTAAAAAGATTGTAATATATATATATAATCATTTTTAACTTTCCTCCAGCTTTTTGTGCCTATTTACTAGTCGTTTGTATTACTATTCCATTTAAAGTGCTGGCAGAAATAAGGGATTCAGATGTTTTCTCCATTTTTTGAGTCACATTTTTCCCAGTTTAACTTCCCTATATCTGATGTTATCAAAGTATCAGATTGAATTATAATAGTATTTACTTACAGCTTTAAAAAAATTAAATGGAAGTCTTTTTATTAGTTTCCTTTAACATTTTGTCCATTCTGCCAGTATACTCAAGAATCTGTTGATTTTGGGACCAGCAGTTAGCGTAATGGCTATGTCGCTGAACTCCCGTGTAGTCATATGAGGTTCAGATCCTGGACCCAGTGGCTTAAACTCGCGCCGAGTGCATGTGCGCGTGCCTGCCCAAGATCCCAAGAGAAGAATGGAGGAGAAGGGATTGCAGCATGGCCATTCCCCCTGGGGGGTGATTTCTCACTTTCTGTCTCTCTGTCTCTCTCTGTCTGTCTGGCGAGCACACGTGCCCTAATAGCAAAAAAAACTCTCAAAAAAAAAAAAAAAAGAATATGTTGATTTTAGCTGTTCCAGTTATTTGATTCAGAATATGTAACAAAATAACCTATTTTTAAAAACATTTTAGTAACCAAATGACCTACTTTTGAAGAGCTTGTTATATTTTTTTTGATTTATACAAAGCTTTAGAAAATGATTGATGGAATTTTAGTCTTGAGTATTTAGTTTCTCACTTCTGTGGAGATTTCTTACTGTTGCACATCAGCTGTTCACATTTTGTTAAGAAATTTATTTAAATTTAAAAAAAACTAAGTACTTTCTTTAATCGAAAAGAAGAAAGTATTCATGCTTCAGTATTATCATCTTATTTTAATGACTTCACTCTCTTTGACTTCAAAGCCTGAGAAGTGACATTCCAATCTAGACAAAAAACTTGAAATAGAATAATTCATTAGCTAGGCTGTGTTTCTTCTGGTTTTAATGAAGTTTATCTTCATATTTATATATAAATATATACTATATTTATATATATGCTTATAATATATATTTATTTAAATATTTAAATATATATTTATGTAGTGTATGCTTATAAAATATATGTTTACATATAATATATATAATTTAAATATAGATATTTATATAATATATATAAAGCACGTTCCAGAAAGTCCAAACGCAGTTAAGACATTTTCATGGAATAAAACACAAATTAGATATAAGAAAATAAGCATTTATAGAGTAGCATTCAGATGATACTAGGGAAGACAATTTCCTTGTCTTGACATGGAATGTAAGATTTCTTTCATATCAAAGAAAAGAGATGACTGGTATGTTCCTCAGTTTTTATTCTTCAAATAGTTTTATGGTGGTACTCGGTGAGTCTTACAATAGAGCTTCTTTTTTTTTTTTTTTTTTTTTGAGAGATTTTTGCTATAGGGCGCGTGCGCTCGCCAGACAGACAGGGAGAGACATAGAGACAGAAAGCGAGAAATCACCCCCCAAGGGGGATGGTCACGCCGCAATCCCTTTTCCTCCATTCTCCTCTCGGGATCTTGGGCTCGCACACGCACACGCCCGGCGTGAGTTTTAAGCCACTGGGTCTGGGACGCGAACCGCGGTCGACTACGTAGGAGTCCAGTGACATAGCCATTATGCTAACTGCTGGTTCCCTATAATAGAGCTTCTTAATTCATGATCATTGGATAGACTTTGGTTCCAAAGCATGGGAATCCACTGGCTTTTTTTTTTAATTAAATTATTTCTGTTTTTTTAATATTTTTTAATTTTTACTTATTTACATTCATTCACTGTACAATATAGTATACAAAATGAGATTTTTCCATTCAGAATACATCTATACTAATGACAGATTTTATGTCAACACTCAGTAAAGATGGCCTAATACAGCTGGATTTTTTTGTCATGTCAGTTTATTTAAGATTTGATGTTAAGACACACTTAACATTAACAATATGAATAAAAGGAATTGTTCTCAGTTTTTAACATTAAACCCTAATGTTTGTATAATTCTACTCTTTTTCCCAACTAGGAAAGCTTAACTCCTTTTCAAAAAAAAAAAATGTAGTCAACCCCATGTATTTGACCGGGACTTGAACTGCAGTCACCTACATGGGAGTCCAGCAACGTAGCCATTATGCCAACTGCTGGTTTTTACAGCCATTATCTCTAACAGTTCTGTTTAATTCTTTTTTATGATGTGTATCTCCTCTTTCAGATCATGCAAGAACTTCCTCACCTCTTAGAACTCCTCATCTCTTTTCTCCTGCATTTTCTAGAGATTGTTGTCTCTCTTTTCTTGCACCTCTGTTAACTTTGTCACTATGAATATTTTAAATTCTTTATCTGACATATCCACGAATTCCCTTGTATTGTCTGTGGAGGATGAAGCATTATTCTTTTCTCTTAAGGGAGAGATGTTTTCTTGGTTTCTCATATTTCTCGTGCCTCTATGGTGGTATCTGGTCATCTGATGAATTATGCATTTTCCCCTAATTTTTGGACTTGAATCTGAGCATTTAGAGGCATGCAGGAGGAGGTGGCCTTCAATCCCTAAACAGAACCATTTTTCTCCCTTTGTGCAGCAGATTCAGTGGAAATTGAAGATTAATCTGACCCTAAAAGTATTCTTGTATTTGGCTACTGGCTACTGTGCACCTAGATCTGTCTAGAAATTTACTGTGTAGTGGCTGAGCAGAAAAGTAAGAAAGGTAAAAGAAAACAACCCCCCAAAAAAGAGAAAAAAGAAGACAAAAACAATAAAAAAAGGGGGGGGCAGCTCAGAATTCAGATACAGGTGGCTGGTGATTGGCTAGTCCTATAAGGGGGAGGTAAGAATTAGCAAGATAAAAGAATGACAAAAGGCTAAGAAGTTTAAAAACTAAAATTTAAAAAAAAATTAAAAATAGAGACAGAGTGGCTGGCAGGTGGCATGGTAGTTAAAGGTGCTAGACTCCCACACAGCGGACTATGGTTCGAGTCCCCAACCTCGAGGCTTGCTTTCTCACTTTCCCTCCCTCTCTCTCTCTCTTTCTCAAAAATAGAGATGGGGAAAGACAGAGAGAAGAAAGTGTTACAACCTGGCTCCTGGCTAGATCTGGGGGCCGGGAGGGTGAAGTCTGGGCTGAAGGTGAAAATAAAGTGTGTGGATTTTTCTGAGGAGCAGATTCCCGTAGAAGGCCACTAATCTAGAAGTTAATTGTTTATCATCGTTTTATTGTTTAGAGACTAAATTGCCTATGCATGTGTAAAATTCTTGAAGGCAAGATTGTATGTTATCTCTATCCCTAAATATTTACATACCCTATGGCATAAACATAGTAGAAATTTAGCAAATATTTAATGAATTGATTTGAAAAAAGGGAAATTTTCAGTTAAAGAACTATCATATATGTTCCTCAAATGGAGTTTCATTAACAAGCCTCTTGTCATTTATGGTGGGAGGAGTGGGGACAAATAAGCAGTGTCAAGAAAGTGTGGAATGCCTTCAGCAGCTTCAGCAGGCTGAAGGTGGGCCAGAACTAGAGTTACCCCCACCTAGAGGAGATGGCAGGAAATGTCAGCATGGACTCCAGTGGAGTCTGAGGAAATCACTTATGGTCTTAGAACTGAGTGAGTTGGAGACCAGCAGATGGTGTAATGGTTACGTTGCTGGCCTCCCATGTAGTTGCAGTTCGAGGCCTGGACCCAGTGATTGAAAACTCATGCTGAGCACATGTGCATGCATGCCCAAAATCCCGAGAGGAGAATGGAAGAGAAAGGATTGTGGCATGGCCATCATCCCGGCGACTGATTTCTTTCTTTCTGTCTCTCTCTGGCAAGCGCATGCGCCCTATAGCAAAAATCTCTCCACAAAATAAAAAAAGAAAGAAAGAAAAAAGCTGAATGATTTGGACTAGATCATTGTGATCCCTTCCAGCTCTGAATCTGTGACTCTCTTCCTCTCTCATCTCCTTCACTCTTCCCCTCTCTCACATTTGAACCGATTGGCAAAGCCCACTAATCTATTATAGAAAAAAAAAAAGGCCAAAGCCCAGCTCTCCTTTGTGTGGGTAGCTATACCTTTAAAAGACTCGTAGGACCTAAGTGAGTCTGAATAATGGTCATTAGTATTACTAGCTTCATTTTAGTTTGAGCAATACCCAGGAAAATAG